CGGGCGGGCGGCGCGGTCGCCGGGCGCTCCGGGCGCGCTGGCTTGGGCTGCGGAGAGAGCGGCGTTGACGTGAGCGCGGCGCCCGCGTCCCCACGTGCCACCCTGGTGCCCCCCGGTCGGTGCCGCTGCTTGGCGGGGCAGCCTGGGCTCCGGCATGCGCTCTGTGGGGCTCCAGCACCCTGTGGGTCCCATATCAGGGCACCCCGCACCCCCAGGCTCCAGCACCCTGTGCACCCCATAGCAGGGCATCCTGCACCCCATACCAGAGCACCCTGCACCCAAAGCCCCAGCACCCTGTGCACCCCTCCCAGGGCTGCCAATGCACCCCATACGAGGGCACCCTGCACCCCATGCTCCAGCATCCTGTGCACCCCATGCCAGAGCACCCTGCACTCTGTAGCAGGGCACCCTGTGAACCCCATACTCCAACATCCTGCACCCCCCTGCTCCTGCACCCCACACCAGGGCACCCTGTGCACCCCATGCTCCAACACCCTGTGCATGGGGGCTTGGGCACATCCCATATCAGGGCACCCCGCACCCCCAGGCTCCAGCACCCCGTGTACCCCATACCAGAGCACGCTATGCACCCCATGCTCCAGCACCCAACACACCTGGGCTCCAGCACCCCGCACCCCCGTTTGCAGCACCCTTCACACCCCCCGTGCACCATGCACCGCAATCACCCAACGCGCCGCACAGCCGGGCCCCAGCACCCTGTGCACGGGTGCGCAGGCACCCTGCACCCCCAGGCTCCAGCACCCGGCTCACCCCACACCAGAGCACCCTGCACATTTAGGTTACAGCCCATAGGGGACCCTCCGGCACCCAGGGGGCTCCACTTTGTCCCTCATGACTCAGACAGGGCCATGGGCACCCCATGCTCGGTGGGTGAACCCCGTTGGGCACCCGTATTTCAGGCACAACAGGGTGCTGGGTGATCTGGCATGGAAAGCGCCTGGCACTAAGCGTGCGCACCCCAGTGCCCGGGGTGCCATGAGGGGGTGCCAAGTGGGGGTGCCAAGTGGGGGTGCCACACAGGGGTGCCACGCGGGGGTGCCACGCGAGGACGCGGCTCGCGGTACTCACTGGCGAGGGCTGCGTCTCCCAGCCCCACGGGTCCAAAGGCTGTCCCGGTGTGGCCGCAGCAGCCGCCTCTCCAAAGCGGGGACGCCCGCGGGCACCCTCCGGCCGGGAAAACGCGCCCCGCAAGCGAGCTGGCGCGGGCGAGGGAACCGGAGAGCGCGGAGCAGCCACCGCGGCGGCCACCGGCCACCGGCCACCGCTCCGCTGGCACCGCCGGCTCCCTCCTCGGCGGGGAGCTGGGGGGGGACCCCCAAGTGTCCCGCGGGCGCCTCCTGCGCAGCCCTGCTGCCCTCCCCAGCGGCCCCGGGGCCGTCCATCCGTCCGTCCGTCCATCCGTCCGATTGTCCTGCTGCGGGGCGGGAGGGTGCGGGGGGCGGCAGTCCGGAAAGCAGAGCCACGCTGATCTCTGACGGAGCGAGTGGGAGTTTGAAGGGGAAAAACAGGGCTGTTCTCTCTCTTCCGTTTCTCTTCTTTTATTTATTTTTTTTCCTTGTGTTTCATTGATTTTTGAACTTTTTTTTTGAACTTTTCTCCTTTTTTATTTCTTTTTTTCCTCTTTTT